GGAGGAGGAGGAGGAGGAGGAGGAGGAAGATGCAAAGGGGGACGCGGAGGATGCGAAAGAAGCGGGGGAGGAAGACGAGGGTGCGGAGAAGGGCGCGGATGAGGAAGATGAGGATGAAGACGAGGCTGAGGATGAAGATGAAGATGATGAAGATGAGGATGATGAAGATGAGGATGATGAAGATGAGGATGATGAAGATGAGGATGAAGATGAAGATGAGGATGATGAAGATGAGGAGGAGGTGGCGCGGGCGCAGGAGCGGCTGCTGCAGGCGCTAATGGGGCGCGTGGGGCGGGAGCTGCCCCAGCAGGAGCTGACGCGGGACTGGGACGTACTGGGAGAACTGGGAACCGGGACCTACGGACGAGTGCTGCTGGCACGGCCCCGGCACGGAGGTGAGGGGACACCTGGGGACACCTGGGGACACCTGGGGACACCTGGGGACACCTGGGGAGACCTGGGGAGACCTGGGGAGACCTGGGGACACCTGGGGACACCTGGGGACACCTGGGGACACCTGGGGAGACCTGGGGACATCTGAGGATACCTGGGAACACCTGGGGACATCTGGGGACACCTGGAGACACCTGGGGACACCTGAGTGCACCTGGAGATCACCTGGGTCATTGTCTCCTGGGTGTCCCCAGGTGTCCCAGGTTACCTGTCCCAGGTGTGTCTGTACCTGACCCCAGGTGTGGTTACTTGTCCCTCTCCCTAGGTGTGTCGCCTCCCCCAGGTGTGTCACCTGTCCTAGCTGTGTCCCAGGTGTGCCCCAGGTGTGTCCCAGGTGTGTCCGTACCTGTCCCCAGGTGTGTCCCCAGGTGTGTCCCCAGGTGTGTCCATACCTGTCCCCAGGTGTGTCCCCTGTCCCCAGGTGTGTCCCCAGGTGTGTCCCAGGTGTGTCCATACCTGTCCCCAGGTGTGTCCATACCTGTCCCCAGGTGTGTCCCCAGGTGTGCCCCAGGTGTGTCCCAGGTGTGCCCCAGGTGTGTCCCCATGTCCCAGGTGTGTTCCCAGGTGTGTCCATACCTGTACCCAGGTGTGTCCCTTGCCCCAGGTGTGCCCCAGGTGTGTCCCAGCTGCCCCAGGTGTGTCACCTGTCCTAGCTGTGTCCCTGTCCCAGGTATGTCCCTGTCTCCAGGTGTGTCCCCATGCCCCAGGTGTGTCCCAGGTGTGTCCATACCTGTCCCCAGGTGTGTCCATACCTGTCCCCAGGTGTGTCCCCAGGTGTGTCCATACCTGTCCCCAGGTGTGTCCATACCTGTCCCCAGGTGTGTCCCCAGGTGTGCCCCAGGTGTGTCCCCAGGTGTGCCCCAGGTGTGTCCGTACCTGTCCCCAGGTGTGTCCCCAGGTGTGTCCCAGGTGTGTCCATACCTGTCCCCAGGTGTGTCCATACCTGTCCCCAGGTGTGTCCCAGCTGTGTCCGTACCTGTCCCCAGGTGTGTCCCCAGGTGTGTCCCCAGGTGTGTCCATACCTGTCCCCAGGTGTGTCCATACCTGTCCCCAGGTGTGTCCCTGACGCGGCCGTGCCTCACCTGTGCAGGTGCGCGGGTGGCTCTGAAGCTGCTGTCCAAGGAGCGCACGGCCAGGTGCGCGTTCCTGCGCGAGTTCTGCACTCACCTGTGCCTGCGGGGGGCGCGCACCTGTCTGCAGGTGCTGCCGCTCGCCTTCGAGACCCCCACCGAGTTCGGCTTCGCCCAGGAGCTCGCACCTGCCGGGGACCTGTGCGGGCTCCTCACACCTGGCGTGAGTCACCTGGGACAGGTGGGACTGGGGGGACAGAGGGACAGGTGAGGGACAGAGGGACAGGTGGGGGGACAGAGGGACAGGTGAAGGGATGGAGACACAGGTGAGGGACAGAGGGACAGGTGAGGGGATGGAGACACAGGTGAGGGACAAAGGGACAGGTGAGGGACAGAGGGACAGGTGAGGGACAGAGGGACAGGGGAGGGGACAGAGGGACAGGTGAGGGACAAAGGGACAGGTGAGGGACAGAGGGACAGGTGAGGGACAAAGGGACAGGTGAGGGACAGAGGGACAGGTGTGGGATAGATGGACAGGTGAGGGACAGAGGGACAGGTGAGGGACAGAGGGACAGGTGAGGGGACAGAGGGACAGGTGGGGGGATGGAGACACAGGTGAGGGACAGGTGAGGGGATGTGGAACAGGTGTGGGACAGGTGGGACGGGGGGTGGGACAGGTGAGAACAGGTGAGGGACAGATGAGGACAGGTAAGAACAGGTATGGACAGGTGAGGACAGGTGAGAACAGGTATGGACAGGTGAGGACAGGTGAGAACAGGTAAGAACAGGTATGAACAGGTGAGAACAGGTGAGAACAGGTGAGGACAGGTGAGGACAGGTGAGGACAGGTGAGAACAGGTAAGAACAGGTATGGACAGGTGAGGACAGGTGAGGACAGGTGAGGACAGGTGAGGACAGGTGTGGGGATGGGGGACAGGTGAGGACAGGTGAGGGAAGGGGAGAGCCATGCACACCTGGGTGGGAGGGCGTGTGTGCACAGGTGACCCCCCAGGTGACCTCTCAGGTGACACAGCACAGGTGGGAGACACTGCTGAGTGTCCCCAGGTGTGTCCCTGTCCCCAGGTGACCCTGAGTGACCCCATAGGTGCCCCCAGATGTGTCCCCAGGTGTGACCCCAGCTGTGTCACCTGTCCCCAGGTGTGTCCCCAGGTGTGACCCCAGGTGTCCCCAGGTGTGACCCCAGCTGTGTCACCTGTCCCCAGCTGTGACCCCAGGTGTCCCCAGGTGTCCCCAGGTGTGACCCCAGCTGTCTCACCTGTCCCCAGGTGTGACCCCAGCTGTGTCACCTGTCCCCAGGTGTGTCCCCAGGTGTGACCCCAGGTGTCCCCAGGTGTGACCCCAGCTGTGTCACCTGTCCCCAGGTGTGTCCCCAGGTGTGACCCCAGCTGTGTCACCTGTCCCCAGGTGGGTCTCCCGGAGCCCCAGGTGAAGCGCTGCGCCGCCCAGGTGTCGTCAGCCCTGGCTTACCTGCACGGCCACGCCCTGGTTCACCGCGACCTGAAGCTGGACAACGTCCTGACCTTTGACCCCGAGTGTCACCTGGTCAAGCTGGGCGACTTCGGCCTGACGCGGGTCCAGGGCTGGCAGGTGCGGCCCGCGCCGGGCGCCGCTCCCTACGCCGCACCTGAGCTGTGTCACCTGCGCTCAGGTGAGCTCCGCCTGCGGCCCGCGCTGGACACCTGGGCCTTCGGCGTTCTGCTCTTCGCGCTCCTCACCGGTTCCTTCCCCTGGGCCTCACCTGAGCGCTCCGACCCCGCCTTCCGCCGCTTCTGCACCTGGCACGGCCGCACCTGCCCAGGTGAGGCCCCGGGCCGGCCCCCGCGCACCTGGCGGGGGTTGGGGGAGGCGGCGCTCAGGTTGCTGCGGGGGCTGCTCCACCCCCGGCCCGCCAGGCGCTGCCCCCCCGGGGAGGTGCTCAGGTACCTGGGCAGGCCCTGGGCAGGTGAGGGGGGACAGGTGAGAGTCACAGGGGAGGGGGGACAGGTGAGAGCTGTGGGGGAGGGGGGACAGGTGAGAGTCACAGGTGAGGGGGGACAGGTGAGCTCCACAGGTGAGGTGGGACAGGTGAGAGTCACAGGTGAGAGGGGACAGGTGAGCTCCACAGGTGAGGTGGGACAGGTGAGAGCCACGGGGGGAGAGGGGGGACAGGTGAGAGTCACAGGTGAGAGCAGCCAGGTGAGCCCCACAGGTGAGGGGGGACAGGTGAGCCCCACAGGTGAGAGCGGCCCGGTGAGCCCCACAGGTGAGAGCAGCCAGGTGAGCCCCACAGGTGAGATGGGACAGGTGAGCCCCACAGGTGA